AGACTATTGCTGGACAGTGACAAGAGATGCTCCATTTAATGAATACAAGAGACAAGCCAAGAAGCGCCGAGTAGACACTGAATAGGACTAAACTATGTACAGAATAGTTTTTTGCCGTTTGTTTCATAATAAATTTTATTTATATAACCCTTTTGCTGATTTTTAAAGTGTTACATAAACAGGACAGGTGAAATATTATCATGTAAAGCAACCATAAACCCATGAAAAGACCTAGGTTTACAATTTATGATTAAAACTCTACTATCTACACAATATACATAGACATAAAATGTAAAAACTGAAATATCTTAGAAACAGTAGCCAATCAGTTGTTTTAATTGTCATATTTGAATTCAGCACATCAAAATACATAATAAATAGCACATTTTATCTCTGAAGCAGACAACTTCTCAAAAATTGTAGACCAGTGTTAACAGTGTCTCTAGGCACTGATACTATACATTCTAGTACATTACAAAGATTGCATGTAACTGTGGCCAGGGTGGGGAAACAGTAGAGAGACAGACAGACACATACACATAGCACTGTAAAAAGAGTCAGTTCCTTGGGACCAAGCTACACTGAGTTATGTGTCACAGGATCACAGAGAAAGATATGCTGATTGTATTTGATAATTCTGGTAGATAGGGGAAATGCTATGTCTAAGTGGGCTTTTTTCCATTTCAGTGTTTTGTATTAAAACGACAATAAAAAGCAAACATATTTTCCTTTGGGGTGTCATTTTTCTTCATTATTATTTAGTGAAGTATTAATGAAGAAAAAAGGTGGTGTAACCTCATAAAAAGGAAAAATATATCTTGTAAAAGTAACACCCACCTAATGTTTGGCAGTTTTATAGGAACATTAATAAGACAGAGGAAGACCATATGGGTTAGCAAGACCTACAGTATCTGTATTAACCTCAGCATTTGTTTGGATAGACAGATGAATAGATCGATGTTAGTTAATGGGCTGATTTGTGTTCCACAAGACAAAATCAAAACAACTCCTATATCATTATAAAGGGAAAGGGAGAATTCCTAAAAAGAAAAAGATAATACGAGTTCTCTCCATCTTGCTTACAGAGAGAGAGAGAGAATTCTAGTTTGCTGATCCTGGTTCCACTTGGCCATTGCAAGGTATCACCATCTAAACATGATAAATATTTTCAAGGATGCCTCATATCTACTACCATAACAAAACTGACTCTTGGATGGTGATGCTATCTCTAGATCTGGCCTCTAACTTTTAATCTCTACTAATCTAGATTGGCAGTGACCAAATGTCATTATCATTTGATGACTGTTTAGTTGTGTGCGTGAATCAGGTGTGGTCACAGTCCAGCTCTGAGTAAATGACTGTTCATGTGAGTGATAAACACAAGTTCTAACAGTTATCCTTTTATCTGCAATTCATCCTGTCTTTGGCCATGTCTACACTTTCCGGGGATCAACGCTGCTGCGATCGATGCAGTGGGGATTGATTTAGCGGGTCTAGTGAAGACCCGCTAAATTGACCGCAGAGCGCTCTCTGGTCGACTCCGGTACTCCACCGGAACAAGAAGAGCAAGATAAGTTGACAGGAGAGCGTCTACCGTCGACACAGTGCAGTGTAGACACCACAATAAGTCGACCTAAGCTACATCGACTCCAGCTACATTATTCACGTAGGCCTTGTCTACACTACCGCGGTAAGTAGACCTAAGTTATGTTACTCCAGCTACGTGAATAACATAGCTTAGGTCGACTTACTGTGGTGTCTACACCATACTGCCTCGACGGGAGATGCTCTCCCTTTGACTTACCTTACTCTTCTCGTTCCAGTGGAGTATCGGAGTCGACCAGAGAGTGCTCTGCAGTCGATTAAGCAGGTCTTCACAGCAGTGAAGTGTCGCAGCAGTGTCAATCCCCGGTAAGCGTAGACATGGCCGTAGCTGGAGTAGCATAACTTAGGTCGACTTACCCTGGTAGTGTAGACAAGGCCTTTGTGTGTCATCCTGCCATTGTTGTTTTGTTTATTTCACTGTGATCATTTTAAGGTTAGACTGTTCCCCTCACTCCCTAACTTTTCAAGCACACTTGCACTAGAACTGGCCTTCAAAATGCCTAAGAATGGATGTTTGGAGACTATACATTTGGACTATTCATTTCCAAAATTTGTGGATTTTTCTTTTGTTATATACATTAGCCCATTCCTGAAATGTGTCTTTGTTTTAGAATTCACATTTAGATCCAAGTAGCCCCACGTTAGAACACATTTTTTTTTAATTGTTGATCAATATGAAACATGTTGCTTCTGTGCTTGTGTGTGGAAAATAGAGAAGTTTCACAGAAAGTCTTCAGCAATTAATCAAATATCAAAAGATCTAGCTCAACAAATAATGTGTGGGTTTTCTCCTCTTCTTCTTCTTCTTCTTCTTTAAGATTACTTGTCCAAAAGCATATGGTTGAGGCAGAAAGGCTGTAATCATTTACAGCTCTGGGCTGGCTGCTACATCTCTGTAGTGAATGTCTTCACAGGCAACAGCTTCCGTATGTTCCATATTTTTAACACTGACCCTTCATAATAAGGCTCTTTGATACCAGTTCAAATATTTGAATTAATGTTCTCTGTATTTACTGAGGGTCCCTCTTGCAGCTTAAGTATTTTGATCCTTCTGGCAATTAAAGTACTCTTAATTTATCACCTCTTCCCTTTCCCTACGTTTTTTAGTTCCACAAGTAACCTTCATCTTAAAGTGGGACAAACCTTTAAGAGTTTTAACAACATTACATCTGGTTTGAAACTAGGCATTCCTACTGAGCTTCTGGGCATCTTAACCACTTCAGTTTGTCTCTATAATTATTCTTTAAGAGTAGCAATGTTAGTCCTTCTAAATAAGGAGAGGAAAACGCAATGAGAACTGTTGCTCAAAACTGAACCAACATTTTTTCCCCTTGTGTATGGAAAATTTTAATTTTTGCACATTTGTGGCAGTACAGTACTGTGGAGATACTGAAATGTCTTGCATAAGCCTATTCTAATAGTATTTAACGCTTTAAGATGGGATATAAAACGAAGACCTGGACCATTTGTTACAATTGAAGTTCTCATGGCACTTTTCATAAAATTAGAAGAGTAGTAAGCCTGGTTTTCTGGCTCAGTTCCAACAAGGTAATTTACATAATGTTTATCTAAATTCCCCTTACTGTTTAAACTGGTTGAAGTCCTCTTCTTTTCTTTTAATCTTCCTGCCTTAAACTGTTGTGTAGCTTTACTGTGCACCATTAAACACCTAGAAGTGGGTGGATTGATCCCTGTATTGCCCTTACCTATTTTATTGGGCTGTTGTTAGATTTAAGTAATATAGTACAACCTGATTTTTCAAAGGTCTCAGCAGACTCCAAAGCCTTTGAGTAATTGGATCTTGACTAATTATGGGAGCTGGCTTAGGTTTGAAGTCTGCAAGCTAAAAAGCCTATGTTCAGGGTCTCCAGTACCTCCTGACTCTGAACACAGACTTCAAAGCGTCCTGAACCAGCTCCCATATTAGAGAAAGCCATGACAACTTACTCAAGGATGGCCAGCTCCACAGCACTTCAATGTATAATTCTTTAACTGCTGATGCTTCATAAAGACAGAGCTCTCCCACTCTCCTGAGATGCAGAGAGGTCCCCTCAAATGGTGAAGCACAGCCAAAAGCCAAAAAATGACTACTGAAAATGAAAAAAAGAAAAAAATATATCGCTCCCTACACATTTTTTTTTTCAATATTTTGTTTTGGTGGGGAGAAAAAATTCCATTTCAGGTTGACCCAAATCAAAAAAATTGGGGGGGGATTTTTCAGTTCAGCTACCAAACCGAAAAATCAATTATTCGCTCAGCTCTATTGGTCACCCTAAACTCTGAAGAGTTGGCTTATTCAGTCATCCATCTTCCCCATGGGGTTTATACATTTTACAGTGATTAAGAGATTTCAATGCATAGAGACTTGTGTGCTGAAAACCTGTGGAGCTGGCCAACCCTGGGGAAGTTGGCCAGCTGTCTGCGGCCAAGAGAACAAACCCAAGCAGGAGGAAGCAGCCCATCAGGGAGCAAGGTGCCAGGTTCAGCCACAGTTACCTGGAATTCAAGGGAAATAAGACTCAGTTTTTAAGTACAAGGGGTTTTGGCTACGTGAATTTCAGATAATTGTGACTGCTTTGCACTTCGAGATACTTGGATGTGAAGCACTATAGAAGTGCAAATTAGTCCGATATAGTCAAAGCAGGAAAATAATGGACATCTTGTGACGAAGCTTGATCTAATGAGATTGCCAGCCCAAAAAAGGTCTTGGTAAGTTTTAGGATAAGCATCCAAGCTTTTGGATTCACATTCAAATTGAACGTGGAGAGGTTCATAAAGCACTAATTTAAAATTGATTAAATTGGTAATAAACTTTATGTTTGTGTGGTCATTTATAGTAGGAATGGGGAAACTTGTTGAGACTAATTTCTAACCCATTTAAACATCATAGGTTCAGAAGTTTGACTCCAACCCAGATGTTACTGGGTTTGCATTCTGTTTATAAAAGACTCAAAAAGAGCAATGAACAAGCAATGACAAAAACAGACTGAAAAAGAAGCAAAGAGAGTGAGCACAATGACAAACAAATAAGGAGACTGTGAATAAGGGGGAAGGAACACTAGCCAAAATCGGGAAAACCTGGTTAAAGAATATTTAGATAAATTAGATGTATTCAAGTCAGCTGGGCCTGAATGAAATTCACCCTAGGGTACTTGAGGGTGAAACAGTCTCAGAACCATTAGTGATTATCTCCAAGAACTCATGGAGGATGGGTGAGATCCCGAAAGACTGAAGAAGGCCAAACATAATACCTATCTTTTAAAAGGGAACCCAGGGAATTATAATCCAGTCAGCCTAAATTCAATACCTGGAAAGATAACTGAAATATTATCAATCAATCAATCTGTAAGCACTTAGAGCAGTTGTGAGCAACCTGTGGCCTGTGGGCCGCATGGGGCCCATCAGGGTAAGCTGACTGCGGGCCGCGAGACATTTTGCGGACGTTGACCGTCCGCACGCATGGCCCCCCGCAGCTCGCCGTTCCCGGGGGGTCAAAATCTGCAAAATGTCTTGTCGCCTGCAATCAGCTTGCCCGTGACCCGCAGGTTGCCCACCACTGACTTAGAGGATAACAGGGTGATAAGTAATAGCCAACATGGATTTCTCAAGAACAAATCATGCCAAACCAAGCTAATTTCTTTCTTTGACAGGGTTACTGTCCCAGTGATATACATTGATTTTACCAAGGCTTTTGATATAGTCCCATGTGCCTTTCTCACAAACAAACAAAGAAAATGTGGAATCCCCGCTATTGGAGGTTTTTAGGAACAGGATAAACAAACAACTGTCAGCAATGGTCTAGGTATATTTCATTCTGCCTCAATATGGGGAATGGACTAGGTGACTTCTTGAGGTCCCGTCTAGCCCTACAATTCTATTATTCTGAAGGAGCAGAGGGGAGAAAACGTGAAAAATTATAATGAAAAACCAAACAGTCTCTATACCACTTATAATCCATCATTTGTGCCAGCTAGATTTTAGCGTGTTCTTCTGTCTTTAACACTGTACCATGGCACAAACTACTCTTGAGATTGAAAAAAAGAAAAGAAAGCAAAGTTATTCTAATTTATTCATTGGGGATGGGGGGAACTGTGTTTAAAGACAGGTAATAAAAGGTTTGAGATCTCAAAAGTTAATCTAAGATTCTCCTGGGAACTTTCAACAGAAACAGGAGGTAGAAAATGGATGTATTTTTCTTAGGCCCAGATTCAGTGAGGTATATGAGCACATGCATAACTTTAAACACATGAGTAGTCCCATTCAAGTCACATGCTTAAAGATAGTTAGGGAAATGTTGAACTACCTTGCTGAACTGGGCCCATAGTCCTGTAAAGGGTGACAATGCCCCTTTTTCAATGTTTGTTGGCTTCCCACACAAACTAAATTGTGTTCCAAAGGAATCTGCACTATACTATCAGTGGAATGCCACAAGATTGCCCCATCTCTAGCTGAAAATTCCCACCTGTAGCATATTTATGGCTGTATTAAGCATGGACTGAATGACACAACTCGTCTGGTCTTTGTTCTTCAAAAGGGCCCAAGTGTGTGACTCAGGGCTTGTCTACACTGGCACTTTACAGCACTGCAACTTTCTCACTCAGGGGTGTGAAAAAACACACCCCAAGCGCATCAAGTTTCAGCACTGTAAAGCACCAGTGTAGACAGTGCACCTGCGCTGGGAGCTGCGCTCCCAGTGCTGGTAGCTATTCCTCTCGTGGAGGTGGTCTCCCAGTGCTATGCTGTGACTACACAAGTCATGTTAAAGCACTGCTGCTAGTGAAGACGTGCCCTTATATGATGCTCACTACCCACAAGGCTAGGAGTATTTTTGGTCAATTTAGACCTCTCCAAACCTTATGGCCTGGTTTTCAAATGTGTGCAGCACCCACAACTGCCACTGCCATCACCTGGAGCTACTGGGTCCTGAGCATCCCTGAAAATCATGCTATTAATCCACTATCATCATGTTCACAACATGCAACATTAAAAAAAAGTTATTGCTATTTGCTTTTCTTTACAGAGCTGAAAGACTAATGTAATGCAAATACCTCATATTGTCAATCTTAAACATCATTACCTTGCACACGGTGACAAATTGCTGATCATTCCCAGCTCCCACCACCAGGTAGCCATCCTTAGTTTTGAAAGCCTACAAAAACAAACAGAGATGTCAAATTATGACTAAAATATACTGCATGAGACTATCTTTCAAGTTCTGGCCCTGTAATGAATTTCCAAAGGTTTTTCGCAAGTGAACCATTATGTTCAGATTCAATTTATGGTTTTATAAAAGCAGTTCAAAGTGAGAAAAAAAATTAATAATTTAAAGAAGTTCCTTTGATTTTTCCCATTCTGGCAGGTCTTCTTTTAAAGGCTGACAATGCAAACAGATTTATTTTACCTGCTACTCCTCTCCTTAGTACAAAGATATGTAACTTGGCTTTAAGCCGTTTGAGTTACATCTATGATTTGTGTAAGTATGCGGAGGATTAGCACAAACTTGGGGCTTAAACGGTACATAGGCCTTCTGCTGGTTCTATGCACAGGGGCAAATTTCACTGTATGTTCTCAGGGAGCAATTTTCTTAAGCAACATTAAGGTCTGGTCTACAGAGTTTTTATACCAGAATAACTATTTTAGTTGGAAGGGTGATTTTTTTTTTTTAACCAAAATAGTTAAATCAGTACAACCCCTAGTGCAGATCGAGTTATACAGGTGCCGTATACTGGTATAGCTTATTCCCCTCCACACAGAGGAACCAGTTATAGAAGCATACGGCTCTTTTATATCACTGTAACTGCATCCACTCTCCAGGTTGTGTAGCACTTTAACTATAAAACAGTATAGTTAAAGTGTTATAATTTTTGTGTGTAGACAAAGCCTAACCTGCTGAGACACAAGTGACTAAGCTACATTTAGAACAACACTTGCTTACTGTCTCTATAAAATGCATTTCCTAGCAGAAAGAATTATACAGGTCAAAGAGAAAAGTATAAAAGCAACTTTCCAGTTGGATAATTGGCCACTTGACTGTAAGATTCTCACTTAGAAAATGAGGGCCAAATCCTGTAGGCTTACTCGGTCGCAAGCATTCAAAACTCCTGTTGATTTGGCCCTAAACTAATCAAAATATACAGGCATGCAGAATATATATAACTGTTTTCACTGCATTTTCAGACTGAGACACAGACAATGAACTAGAGAAACTTTGGGAAGAAGAACATAGAAAAGATTTATGCAAGGCTAAAGGGTTCCTTAACATTTATTATGTAAACATTTATTTATGCAGATTTTAGTCTAAAAAAAAAAAAAAAAACACTACAGCACTCATCGAGGACTAACCTAGCAATATGTAACCACTTTTTTGCATACAAAAAAGTATCAATAATTAAGATTCTGACTTTTCTAGCACAGTAATTGTGTCCAATACTACTGTCAAGATAAAAAAAATAATCTTCAGCAACAGGATGAGTCTATTTTAGTAATCTCTCAGTCCAAATAGCAATATTTCTTCGTTGATGCTATATACTCGAAAACTAGCCACACGTACATTACACAAGTTAATGTTTCATTTCTATGTGCTCTTTTGTATGTATAGAACCCAGTCATTTTTATTTATGTGATCACGTGCTATTTCTCTATTAATGCAAATTACAAATTCTTCTACAAACCTTCATGCTTTGCAATTTCTAATCCTGAGGTCTCCACTGGTGCCACCATTATTAGATACAGAATATGTACATACACACGGAAAGAACTTTTCTCATTAAAAAAAGGTACACGTTGCATGAAAGATGACACAACTGCAATAAATACATATTCCAAAATATTCTCAAAATCAGCATTATGGCTTAAAACAAAGAGTTTGGTACTTATTAGCAATTACCTCTGAGGCACATGCAATCTCTGTAAGAATTGCAGTCACATGACAAGCCACACAGCAGTATTAAACATGCATTCATAACTGTAAGCTGCCAAAACGGCGGAAGTCACTCAAAATTTAAGGGGGTCCAGTCATTAGCATTTATGCTTCAGTGGCTTTGTGGTATGTGTGGGAAAACTGATCATTCTTAATTGCATTGTATATTTAAAAAGCAAAAACAACAGTCATGTCATCCTTACTCAACAAAAATAGTATCACCATAAATGCAGCAGTGTCTTTTTGCATGAAGCTTACTCAACTTCCTTCAGCAGCTATTTCTGAGCGTCCCATTACAAAACAGCTGATTATTTGCCAGTAGTTGTTGCTGATAAAGCAGAAACTTTCAAATGTTATTAGCACAGCATTGATGCCAACATTTAAGAATGATAACAATGGTTTTATTCATCGCTCATAAATGTACACACACCGCAGGTTACCGCAGGTTACTGTCTGGTCACAGAAAGCTTTACTATCGTATTATTCAAAGGAGATTCAGGGCTAAGTGCAAACAGACTTTAATGAGATTTTGTTTTGATAAACTGCTGTCTATCACATCGAATCATTTCAAATTAGTGCAATAAAAGGCATTTCACACACGGCAAAAGTCTTTTTTCCTCCCCTATTTTTGGAAGAATGAAGGCTTATGATAGGATATGACACGAATTACATGCAAACTGCTACTCTAGGTGTCCTGAACTCTGGGCCATATAGTAGGTAAAGATAAAACACACAAAATTACTAAAATATAGACAAGAAAATTATTTCACAGCTTATTCATGGAATCAATAGAGATGGAAGATGGGACATCCCAATGCATGGTTTCTCTGAGACTCTGCATTATCTGAGAGGCTTCTATGCAGACAATCTACCAGGAAGGAGATTTTATGTTCAATGAGATAGTTACAGAGCACATTTCACCAACACACGTAAGTTAAAGGCCAAATCCTAAAAAGTAATCTGCCTGAATCATTTTAGTGACGGTGTGGGTGCAGACTTGCTGATAAGTTCTAGTCAGAACTAACCAGTCCTTCCACTGCTGTCTTCCAGTGGCCTTTCAAAATTTATCAGTTACTTGTGAGGAATTTAACCAAAGAACAACATGTCTATCTAATGTATCTAAGTCTACTGTGTTTATTGGCCCCTTCATACATTTCAACCAAATGCTGTACAGCAACCGTCATAGATAAGTAAAATATCTTTGGCAAATGTTTCATATCTGGTGTTGGTTTCTACAAACAAGTCTGTTGGGCTTAAGGAACCAAAAGATATTAACTACTACTAGAGAGGGACAAGATGGTTGAAATAAAAGAAAAACTGACCCAGCTTTTAATCAATACTTCAACTGCACCCAAAACACAGAGGTCAAAGTGGTTAGTTAGCTGTTGTGGTGGTGCTGATTGTTTTCATTCCTGTGGAGCTCTGTAGTTCTTGCAAAAAATAGTTTTGTTTGGATGGTGAAGTATCAATATACTGTGAGAATGGGTGTGCTTTCATTGCTCTTTCTAAGGCATTTCAAGACAATTTCTACACCAAAACAGTTAGGGTAAGTTTAGGTAAACATCTAATTTTTGCATGCTTTCCTGAACCAAACCACCAAAACGCTTGGTGATTGACCATTATTAACTGCTACTTGTTTGTACCTTTCACTTTTGAAGACAGAGATACCTACATGAATGTATTGGGATTTTTAAACGTTTTTATGAAATTATTAGTTACTATTACTAATTATAAAGTTCTTACAAAGGAAAGCACTTAACTACATGCTTCAATCTGTCCCTATTCAGGACAATACTTAAGTACATATTTAAGTCCCATTGACCATACATGATTGATGGAGATGCAGTCACAGATGCAGGAGTATCTTAGTCCACTGATGACCCTAAAAATCAGGAACAAAGTCTTGAAGTGACACTGAAAGCAGATTAGGAGACAGATGAAGGAAAGGAGGATGGGGGAGACATACGTTACTGCAGCCTATCCTGTTGCACCAGCTGGGTTCATATTAGTGCTTGCACAGTCAACAGCAAGTACAGTAAATCAGGGTAATCTAGTCTAGAGATGAGAAACACGTGCATCACTGTGGTCAAATCTTCATCAGAGAGGAAGGGGCAAGGTTCCTAGCAAGATGAAAGTGGAAGAAAGATATTTGGTTGCTATCTGGTTGTTTAGGGTTAATAAGTCCAAATAAGACCATAAGGCTTTGCACTACACAGACAAACAGGGAAAGACCCCCTTTATGGAAGGAGAGGACAGTATCCCAAATCCCAAACAGATCCTCAATAGGTCTTCCCCTTCTGACCTACACTACTTGCCCAGGATAAGTCTGAGCCAGCCAGTATTAATGATTTATTAACAGGCCCAAATTGAAATCCTGGCTTCATCGTGCTAGGTACAGTCCCTGCCTTAAACTATGGCTACATTAGAGAGCTTGCAGCTGCGCCGCTGTAAGCTTTTGAGGGTAGCTGCTCTAAGCTGATGGGAGAGAGCTCTCCCGTTGACTTAATTAATCCACCCCCAACGAGCAGTGGCAGCTATTTCGGCAGGAGAAACTCTCCTGATGACGTAGCTCTGTCCACACCGGCACTTAGGTCAGTGTAATTTATGTTGCTTGGGGGGCTGGCTTATTCACACCCTGAGAGACATAAATTATACTGGCATAAGTGGTCGTGTAGACATAGCTTCAGTAAGAGGTAGTTGCTGTGTGCATGAATGCAGCACTTGACTGGTGCAAATGGGTGTGCTCACAAATTTTGTAATTTTGGAGGCTCCTTGGAGAATCTGGTTTCTAGTGATTTGGACCATGGAAAAACTACCATTTTGCCTTTAATTTGTCGCAGAAGCTGTCTTCAACTGAAGGTTTAAGTTACCATTGCAGTATTTCAGCCAAAGCAGCATAGGTCACATAAGGACTAGTGCTCTCTAGTCACAGTGCTACGTAAAGGCTGCAATTAACAAGAAGGTGATGTATTCAGAAGTTGGCTGACCTATGCAGGAGCACTTTTCAGCTGCCAGCCAAAAGGAACTACAGCATGTGTTCTTTTTCCTCTCCCTCCCCCTCCAACTTAATTTCCAAAAGTTATTACAGAGCAGAAGTTTCTCAGTCTCACTTCAGACAATAATTGATCCAGAACTACGGTAACCCTTCAAAATGGGGTAAATCTGCCACATCTTTTCCACGCCTTTACACATTTCTTTGAATGAAAGCTTCAACTATACTTCAGCATCAA